GCACTCTGTCCTAGCAAAGTGTCTCGGGAAACCAAGTTATTGAGAAATGGCTGCTCGAAGAACATGGAAGCAGAGCTGGGGGGAGAGAGGGTAGATAGCAGGTGCCTTATAAGGCCAGGAGTGGTGGGGCCTGGGGTTCTCATTTCTATCCTAAGGACTGGCCCAAAGCTCCCCGTAGCAGTCAGGGAGTTCTGTTCTCCGCATGGTGCAAAGGAGGCTGATCTGGTCGCAACACCTGCTACCTCGAGCATCCACCAGAGCTGAGCTGGCTGACCCGAGGGGCCAGAGTGGCTCCGTCTCTCAAGTGCCTCTTTGGGCATCCTTTCGGATTTACCGTGTGTTAAAGAGAAAGGTCTTCCCCAAGAAAGGAGACCTTATCTTCACTCAGGGCTATGCAGTAGCTCTCCACCTTGTCAGAACCGCTTTGAACAAACTAGGAGATACGCTGGAGTCCAGCTCTAAGCCACCCTGCCCTTCCTGTCCACCTGGCTCGTGAACAGACTTCCTTCCCACAGCTCACAGGACAACCGACCAAGCCCCTGCTTTAGACAAGCCCAGATGGTCATGTGGGGTGTCATCCCGGGTTACACTGATGTGCATTTGGGTGTTACCGTTCTCTAGGGTGGGGCTTCTTAAACAGATGACTGAGCTTACCCATTACACAGTGATTTCTTTTCTCATTTCTTTTTTTTTTGTTTTCTTTTTTTGAGACAGAGTCTCTGTTGCCCCGTGCAGAGCGCAGTGGCATTATGGCAACTCACAGCAACCTCAAACTCCTGGGCTCAAGCAATCCTCCTGCCTCAGCCTCTGGAGTAGCTGGAACTATAGAGGCTGGAACCACGATGCCCGGCTAATTTTTCTATTTTTGGTAGAGACAGGATCTCAGTCTCGCTCAGGCAGGTCTCAAACCCCTGAGCTCAATCGATTCTCCCACCTTGGCTTCCCAGAGTGCTAGGATCACAGGCGTACACCACCGCGTCTCATCTCTCACTTATTTCTTTTTTAGGTTAGGAACATTTTGCAACCCTCCCCAATATGACTTTATTTCCTCCTTTCATTTGGATTTTCTCTTTGTTTTCCAGTAATTTAATAATTTTAAGAACAGTAGCTGCTATTTATTAATCAGCTAGAGTACTAATTGGGCAGTTTTCACGCATTACCTTTAATCCATACAATAACCCAATACCAATTTCATAGATGAGGAGACAGAAGCTCAAAGGGACCAGTAATTGGCCTAATATCAATGTACTTGGTTGTTTCTGTTTTTCGTTTTTTGGCATTGCTCCAAGATGATTGGAATTTTTCTCCTCAATTGAAATGAAAATGTTTGCATCTACCTTTCGCCCTTTGACTTCCAAAACAGGCTCATGAAACCCCTTCCAAGATCATAAGTGGGAAAACCAAACATTTTGATTTGCACAAGCCCATTTTGAAAGGAAAAAAGTTTATGTTTTGTTCGTGTGTTTGGCATATCAGAAATCAAAGCTCTTTATGTGAATGGCTCACATATAAAAACCTGGAAAGGGATTGGGGGGTGGTAGGTAAGAGTATCTGGACCCTGCCAGAGAGTGGCAATTGGGGATGGGGGGTGGGTTCTGGCTGAGGGTGTTTGGAGGAGGCTTGAGAAGAGAGAGGTCCCTGGAGAGGTGGGGGCAGCACTGGAAGGTGGTACTGCTGAGGACCAGGGGACGAGCCATTGCTTATGCCAGGGGGATGATTCGGTGCAGCTCACGCATACTGCCCTGTTTGGCAAACCATTCTTCCCTGACCTAAATAAATATATTCACCTTTCCACTCTGGCCAAAACTCCCACAGGATGGAGGCTGGATATCCAGACATGCTGGTGATGGGAAGGAAAAGCCCCCAGCACTAGTACTTGGGTAAGATTCAGGAGACCTAGTTCCACACGCCCTCTTCTCCCCAGTGCAATGTCCCATGGCTGGTATGCCCAGGACCTGGACTGGCCCTTACCAGCTAGTTGATTGGACCTGTGGCCTTTGTGGGGTTTGGAGCAGTTAAATAGTGTCATCAAATGAAACCACGGAAATAAACTCTTACATCAGAATGGCAACGGCTTGGAAGCAGGTGATGCCCGAGTGAGTGAGAGATGATGAGTGTTTGAATAGGGTGGTGGCCAGGGATGGATAGGAGAGATATTAAGGGGTGGGATCGATAGGACAAGATTGATTGCTATGGGCCGAAATCCAAATGTCTTCCCTTAGGCAGCCACTCTGGCCTCAAGACTTGCCACTCTCCTTGCCACTCTCTGCTCTAGCTGGTTCCCAAATGTCCTTGTCCTGTGGAGGCTCTGTGCCTTTCAACGTGCTGTGCTGGCCTCTGCCTGGAAGACCGTCCCCGCACTCCAGAAATCTCAGGTTTATCTGTCTGTCTCTCCCTCTAGAGAATGAGCTCCTTGAGGGAAGGCACTGAATCTCTTCTCTCCGAATCCCAGCACCTGGCACAGAGCGTGGTGCTCCAGGTATATTTGTGGAGCCAATCAATAAATGTAAAAAGATGCGGGGTGAAGGGGGAGGAAGTGAAGAGAACAGGGATGAAGACATCGGCTGCACTGTCAGACCTTATTATAATCACTCCTTTCTCTGATGTTACTGGTTAATCCTCATCCGAGCGAAGCATGAAGAGTGATCAGAATAGCATCTGCCTCTGCTAGCCTCTGGAACGCGAACCAAAGAAGACAGGAATGGTTCAGAGGATATTCTAATATTTTGTCCCAACAGTTTCAGTAAGCCTGTCTTGTTAGTAGAGGCAGTGCCTTCTGCATACATTGATGGGGGTGTCGGGTATTGGCTCTGAGAGCCAAGAGAAAGGTAACAAGATAAGGTGGACAGAGCCCTGGACGACCTGACCCGAGTCCTGTGCTCCAGTCCTGGATGCTCAGATAGCCCGTGAGCTGGGCCTTTCAGACCCGCTCCTGCAGATTTATATTCTAAAATCTCCCTCTCTTTGCTTTGACTTTTTCTGTTCCTCCCTTGCTACTTCCACACTTACTGATCCCCAGGTCCTCAGGAGATCCAAACGTAAGCCAGAGCCGGAGACAGGGCTTGCATTAATTTCAGTGTCTTTATGTACTGTCGTAAAATAGAAAATCTAGCATCGTAAGTCCTGTTTGTCCTGGGCTGCTATGTTTTTATGTTTTTTTTTTTCCTATCAATTAATTTTTCAAGAAAAGGCTGTTGTTTCTAATGTCCAAATATCTGTTGTTGAGACTGGGAGTGTTGAGAGCACAGGGTTGGGAGTTGGGAAGGCACTGCAGCTTTGTAGAGCAACCTTGGGCAAGTTCCTTTGAAATTTCCTCCCAAAGCTGCTTCTCCTGGCAAACGGAAAATCCACTACCCTACAGTCTGCCTGCTCCAACTGCTCCCTGCAGGGACCTTATAAACCCATCTCATGCCTCTTTTATGACAATTCCTGTAATTAAGGTACTATTATCCTTACCTTACAGGTGGGGCAGCCAAAGAGCTTGCCCCAGGCTGTGTTAACAGCTGGGTGTCTGGGTTGCAGGACCACAGCCACCCTTCCCCCCACACCATCTAGTCACTTGGGTGCTCACAGACTTTATCTTTCAGTTTTGGTGGTGCTCTGGAAAACACTCCTGGGTTCTGGCCTTTCACTGTCCTAACCTCTATTTCTTCATCTTTTAAAAAGAGGAGCAGGGTGGGCGCGGTGGCTCACGCCTGTAATCTGGGAGGCCTAGGCGGGTGGATCGCTCAAAGTCAGGAGTTCGAGACCAGCCTGAGCGAGACCCCCCGTCTCTACTAAAAATAGAGAGAAATTATCTGGACAGCTAAAAATATATATACAGAAAAAATTAGCTGGCATGGTGGCGCATGCCTATAGTCCCAGCTACTTGGGAGGCTGAGGCAGGAGGATCACTTGAGCCCAGGAGTGTGAGGTTGCTGTGAGCTAGGATGACACCACGGCACTCTAGCCCGGGCAACAGAGCAAGACTCTGTCTCAAAAAAAAAAAAAAAGAGGAGTGGGCTTGGCATAGCTTGAGTTCCTAGGCCCCCAGGGGATCCAGGAAGCTGGGGGTGGCGGCTGCAGACTAATATGCAGGAAGCTCTCCCTCAAATAGGGTTTTTGACTACGGGGAACCGGCCACACAGGCCGATCAAGACAGATGTCAGCTCACTTGCTCTAGGCTGGAAGTAACGCAGCTGGTTACCTCATGCTGATCGCAAGCTCCGATGGGCAATTAGATATGTCTTTGATTAATAAAAAATGGGGCAATGAATAAATAGTTAATCAATGCAGTCTGGCTAGAAGGCTCTTTCAGAACCGGGGCTGGGGGTGAGGTAGGGAGTCATCTAAGGGGTCCTTGGGGGGTGAAAAGGCAAGGCGCCCCTCCAGGAGATGGTTTCTGGAAAGCTCGCTTTCAGTCCTGGTTCTCCGCTCCCTGATTCTGCAGTTGGGGTTTTCCGGCAGTTCTGGGAGCGTAAGACGGAGAGTTGAGCTAGAGAGCAAATGAGGAAAGATGTGTTCCATGCCCAGCCGCGTGGTTGAGGTAAAGCACATGGCGCAGGGTGTGTGTGTGTGTGTGTGTGTGTCCCTGCGCCTGCACGCAGCGGCGTTCCCGCAGGGCGCCGTGAGTTCGTGCTCTTGCCGCGCGGGGGCCTGAGTGCGTAAGGCCACTGAGACTAACTTGGACAGCGGAGGGGCAGTCAGGGGAGGGGAAAGCGAACGGCTGGGGTTACAGAGGGAGGGAAAGAGAAGAGGATCCGAAGGGGAGGGTCCAAAAGGGCGCGGGAGGCCGCGAGACGCGAGAAGGAAGTGAGGGCGGAGGCGAGGCCTGCCCGGCCGCTGCCGGGCGGGCGGGGGCGAGCCGGGGACGGGGCGTGGCGGCGAGAGGCGCGAATCCGAACCCGGGCCCGCGTGGAAAGCGCGCCAGAGCCCGCGGGGCAGCGGGTAGGACGCCGGGGCGCGGGCCGGGGCGGGCGCGGAGGTCGGTCGGGTGCGCGGGCTGCGGGCGCGGCCTCGGGCGCTCCCCTGGCAGGGGCGGGTGTCGGGAGGGGGCCGGGGCCGGGAATGGCCGTCCGGGGGCGAGCGTCACGTGGGCTGCCCGGCTCGCTCTCCGTCGGGTCGGAGTTGGGATGTTTTCGACATTAGACGGGTCTGCGCTGTGACTAAGTAGCCCTGTGACCTTGGGCACGTTCCTGCAATACTCTGGAGCTTTTGTTTCATTGTCAATAAACTGAAGGTAACAAAACACCACCTTGGGCAGGCTGTTGTGGGAGATTGTGGCAGCGTGTGTGTATGACTTCTCCCTCGCCCTGCGCCGGTTCAGAGTGGCTGTTTGTATCATCTTAGTGGACCTGCGTTCAGAATTTGACCTCGGGAGTTCCTGCTTCCCCACAAGCTGCCGGGTAACTACCAGGTAAGTCATTCACCTGTGACTTCAGGCGGGCTTGGGGACTTACCTTATCTGCTGACCCAGATTGTTATGAAACGCAGTGACTGAGATGGCCTGTGAAAGTATTTATTCCCCAGATTTGCTGCCGGTGGTCGTGGTCATGCTGCCCCTTCACCCAGCCCACAAAGAACCCTTTGTCCACCTCTGCCTTTCCCACAAGCCTCATCTTCCAGGTAGCCTCTGCCTTTATTTTACAGGATCCAGAGAATCACCCACTGTTGGTTTTTGCCCAAGCCAGAAACAGTCAAGACCACAGAGCTACGTGAAGAGGAGGGCTTGCCAAAGGAATTTTCCAGGTGCTCAAACGCCAGGACTTGCAGCTCTTGTGGGCAGCCCAGGCGGACAAAGCGGGATTTGAGGATCTGCTCGACGCTGGGCCATGGCGGGCCGGGGCCTGTACGTGGCCACCCTGCTGACAGGGCTGCTGGAATGCCTTGGCTTTGCGGGCGTCGTCTTTGGTTGGGTTTCCCTGGTGTTTGTTCGCAGGCCAGGCGGTCTCCCATCCAAATACTGACCGGGCCCGACCCTGCTTAGCTTCGGAGGGCAGATGGGATCCGGCGCGGTCAGGGCGGGGTGGCCGCAGACTCCCTGGTGTTTGTCTTCAAAGCAGAGCATTACTTTAAGAACCCGTGTGAACCAAATGCTGGGCTGATGGGCAATGCCACAGAGCAGGCTGCTGAGGGTAGGTGCGACTCTTCCAAGGAACTTAAGTCTGGTTCCCAGGTGGTGGGAGGTGTAGGAAGGACCCTGCCCCCTGCCCTCCCTGCCAGCCTTTCTAGGGTGAGAGGGAGGCACATCCCTTTCCTCCACAAGGTCTAGGAGGTGCCTGGGAGGGAACTGTGAGCTCCTGAGGGTGTAATTAGGGGCAGTCATATTCCAACTCAGCGTAAGGAACAACTTTCCACCAGGCAAGCTGTCCAAGATGGAGGGGAGCCCAGGCAGGAAGTGCTCTCCTGGAAGGAAGGCTGGGATGGATGGGAGACCTTTTCTCTCCTTCAGACTGCAAAGCTCAGGATGAGACCTTCTCACTCATCTTCACCCTGGCATCCTCCATGAACAACTTCATGACATTCCCCACCAGCTACATCTTTGACCATTTCAAGACCACTGTGGCCCGCCTCATAGCCATGTAAGTCCCAAAGGCCCAGTCTGGGCAGAGGTGGGCAAGAGGAGTTCTTTGGGCAGCAGCCCAGCTTGGATAGAAACCCAGATTGGGCAACTGGGCAGCCGTGCCAGGTGCTGCTCACGGCAACCGTTAGGAACAGCTCCAGAAGGGTGTGGAACCTCTCTGTGTCCACCCTCTTCCCACAGCCTTGCTTCCGTTTCCTCACTACCTTCCCTACTCCACGTGAATGTGTCTGCTGTGTCATGTGTTGAATTGAGCAGGAGCCCAGGCTGACTTCCTCTGAGGGCTGGCCTGGGGCCAGGGTTATGAAATTAGCAAGACCTAAAATTGCTACTCTTTCTGCCTTCACCTGAAGATCCTTATCCTCATCTCTTTTTTTTTTTTTTTGAGACAGAGTCTCACTTTGTTGCCCGGGCTAGAGTGCCGTGGCGTGAGCCTAGCTCACAGCAACCTCAAACTCCTAGGCTCAAGCAATCCTACTGCCTCAGCCTCCCGAGTAGCTGGGACTACAGGCATGCGCCACCATGCCCGGCTAATTTTTTCTATATATTTTTAGCTGTCCAATTAATTTCTTTCTATTTTTGGTAGAGACGGGGTCTCGCTCTTGCTCAGGCTGGTCTCGAACTCCTGAGCTCAAACGATCCGCCCGCCTCAGCCTCCCAGAGTGCTAGGATTACAGGCATGAGCCACCGCGCCCGGCCTCTTATCCTCATCTCTTACACAGTCTCACATCCAGGTCGCTCGGGCTTAATCTTCATCCTCCTCACCCCCCCTTTAATTCCCCAGTAGCTCACCTAATGAAATTTCCTGGGTATCTCCAATGATAGAATTTCAGGTCCCTTCTGACTGGAGGGGAGACAGTGGGAGTTCCCGTGCAGATGACTCAAGGCATTAGGGACTTGATCTCGCCCACACAGTGTGCTGCTGCGTCCTGATCTCTGTGCTGTGTGGCCAGGTTCAGTGATAAGCGGTACCTGCTGTGGGCTGATAACGCCCCAGAGCAGGCGACCCTGGGGAGGCATGTGTGAGATCAGCTGTCAGAGAGAGGGACTCGAGGGCTGGCCTGGTCCGGGCCAGGAAACAGCTGGAGAGTAAGGCAAGTCCCTTACACGGTAAGTCTTTGGGTGCATGGTGACCGTATCTCGGTCTCTTTGGCCTTTGGCTGCCTGTGTTCTCCCCTTCCTTCCTGTGCCCCTTCCTTCTTCTCCAGCCTTAGGGCACTGCTTTGATTACCCCATGCCTTACAAGACCCCCAACAGCTAAGGCTGTGGTCCCCAACCTTTTTGGCACCAGCGACCAGTTTCATGGAAGAGAGTTTTTCCACGGGTGGGGCAGAGGGGGAGCGGAGCTCAGGCAGCGATGTGAGTGATGGGGAGCAGCGGTAAATACAGATGAAGTTTCGGTGGCTCGCCTGCTGCTCACTTGCTGTGCAGCCCAGTTCCTAATTTTCAGGGAAGATGATTTTTCCATGGGGTGAGGGGAGGCGGAGCTCAGGTGGCGACTTAGCCCGATTCCTAACAGGCCGTGGACTGGTGTCAGTTTGTGGCCCTGGAGGTTGGGGACCACAGGGTTAAGGGATCTCTATAACCTTGATATTATCATCCTGAAATCATAGCACTCTTAGATCAGTCCAATCATTTCCTTTTATAAAAAAGGCTTCTGGGCCAGGAGCCGTCTCTCACACCTGTAATCCTAGCACTCTGAGAGGCTGAGGTGGGAGGATTGCTTGAGGTCAGGAGTTTCAGACCAGCCTGAGCAAGAGTGAGCGCCCTGTGTCTACTAAAAATAGAAAAATTAACTGGGCGTGGTGGCGTGGGCCTCCTGTACTCGGGAGGCTGAGGCAGGAGGATTGCTGGAGCCCAGGAGTTTGAGGTTGCTGTGAGCTAGGCTGACGCCATGGCACTCTAGCCCAGGTGACAGAGTGAGGCTCTGTCTCAAAAATAAAATAAAATAAATACAATAAAATAAAAGGCTTCTGAAGCCCAGAGAGGGGCAGCACCTTGCCCCAAAGTCACACCAGAGGAGGAGTTTTAACTCCAGATTTTGATTTGCAGACCAGGCTCGAACTTCTTTCTCCAAGGGGTTGAGCTGTTGGAACTTCCAGATGGGAGGGCCTTGGCTCTGCCCACTCGGCCCCTGCCTGAGTCCTGAGACAGTCATTGTCCAGGACTCCCCAGCCTAGCCTGGGACTTTGGGAGGAGCAAAATGCACTGTCTGCGAGGTCAGGACCACATCTCAGTCTTAAGGCTTCTTGCACTTGGCATCAGTGCCCACTGAGCTCCCAGTTCAATGCTGGCTGAAAACGCAGTCCAGTCCTAAACTTGGAGGTTGGGTGAGCAGAATCATGTTTTGTCTCCTAGGTTTCTCCTTTCTTGACAATGTTCTCCTCCTGTTCTGTATTTCAGATTTCTCTACACCAGCGCCACACTCATCATAGCCTTCACCTCTGCAGGTGAGTGCTGCCAGGTGCGCGGGAGGGCACAAGCTCAGGGGGCACCTGGGAGAGGGGGCAAGTGCAGAGGTCAGGTCATGGGCAAGACACGGACCACATGGTTATTCAGAGATCCACAGCTTGAAAGAATCCTTGAGGGATTTTGAGTTATTGCTGGTCTATGAAAATAGTTTAGTCTGCTGAGAAAACGTGAAAAAGAAGGATGATGGAGAGGGATTGCTTTAGAGAGCAGATCTGATTCAAAACGTTACATCCTTTTTCTTATGTGTGTTAAAATGTCCTTTCTCTTTTTAATGAAATGGTAATATGAATGACAATTTTGAAAATATCCTTAGCAGGGTAAAAGTTGACAACTCTGCTGTACTCAAAAGCTTGGTTTTCATATTTTACCACTTTATAAAAGTCTGGGAATTCCAATCTGGTTTATCCCTCTCTCTCCCCCCAACCCATTACATAGAGGAGAAACTGAGGCCAGAGAGGGACCCCTTGCAGAGATTTGCCCAAAGCCACAAAGAAAGTGAGTGGGAAGTGGGCCTGGGCTGCAGGCATCCTGGTCCCTGGTGGTTCTGCCCCATCGCTTTGGTTACGCCGGCCACCAGATGCCTCTCAATATTCCTCCCCAGTGTCAGATCTCATGGCTCCACTTTTGGTTTAGGAAAGGAAAGTACGTAACTCTAGTGCGTGTGGTAGCTATCCTGAAGCCAGACAGCGTCATGAGGTCGTCTCCACTCATGCTGGGCAAACACGGAGGCTGTCTTCATCCAAACAGATCTCAGGAGATAGCCTGGCGCTTCAAGCCGGTTATTTCAAACCTCTTTATCAAGCCAGCATCATCTACTCTAAAAGCCTGTAAATGATTTTCGAGAGGCCGACCGTGGAGGTGGTAGCTGGCTAATGTTTGACTCACTTTTCTGGATCGTATGAGCAATAATACCCCCCTTTCCCCACAAAATAGCACTTTTTGTTTTTTGCAAAATGTGTGGAGGCTGCAGGGACTATCGTGAAAGGGATCTCCAGCCTTTAGTACTAGGAGAGATGTACATTTTCCAAAGACAAACTGGTGGTAAATAGCGTGAGTGCTCTACAATTTGCTCTTTGCAGGACTTCCCAAGGTATAGCACAGTAGTTAGGAGGATATTAAGGGCACACATTGGCGACATTAACTGCATTAACCAGCACTGAATCGCCTGGTGGAAAAGTTACTCCCTTTTTATATTCTCTTTCAGCCCTGCCGATTTCATGAAAGAAAGTCTCAATGTGGGGCCATATGATTTTAACACTGATGGCAAGAGCAGGTCTCAGGCTTTGAACATTCTAAGGGCAACTGCATCTGGCTACAATTTAGTAACATTGTTTTCCTTGTATTTATTTTTATAGTTACGTCCTATTCATGACAAACAATGCAAGTGTTTTCATCTACAGCAGTGATAGAAAGTGTTTTTTAAAAAATAGGGTTTTTGGGGCTAAAGCGAGTCAACTTAAAAAAAAGCAACGCATTTTAGTAAATAATAGGACAGGCATAGGTTATGGCCAAAATCATGAAAGTGGGCAGAAGTCTGTGGTCTTTGAGAAGCGCTAATTTATCAAGGGCTCCTCTAGGCCTTGAGCAGCTCTGCTATTCCAGACCTGTGGTAATGATTTGTTTACGTGTCAGTCCATTCAAGGGCAAAGAGTTTGTTTTACTTATCCAGCATTTCCAATGCCAAGTACAAAGCCTGGCACAAAGGAAGTACTCAGAGCTTAGTGAACAAAGGAAAGACTATAGCCATTTTCTCGCTGAGATCTCACGGCACCCCTGCGAGGTGCGAAGAGCAGGGACTGTCGTTCCCATTTAACAGATGAAGCGACTGAGGCACAGATTCAGAACCAGCTCAGGGTCATTCAATAAATTAGGGGTTGGGCTTGGGGCCTGAACTACAAAGATGAGTCCAGAGTCCTCTTCCCCCACAGTGTTGAGGATGAGTAGCAGGGGCTTCTCGTGGTTTAGAGAGGGAGGGGAGTAGTCGGTGGCTTCGCTTTGAGTTCTCTCTCTAACTGTAGGCATCTAGGTCTGCCATAGACTGAGGACCATCTTTGGGGGGAAAAAAGGGGCACAAGAAAACCCAACAAGGAAAAAATGGGCAACCCTGGCCAAGAACCTAAAAACCCTGAAACAAGAAAAAAAGCCGGCCCCGAACCGAAGGGTGGTGGGAAATTGGAAGAAGGGGGAACCGAATTCAGAGCTCCGTGTTTGGGTTGCACTGTGACACACTCTACCTCTGACTTTCATGCTCCAGACTCAGCTGTGCTGCTCTTCCTGGCTATGCCAGTGCTCAGCGTCGGGGGAATGCTGTTTCTCATCACCAACCTGCAGGTAGGAGCCTGCCCTAATCCCAGCCACCTACCAGGAGGTGGATGATGGAGGGGAGGGTGGCAGGTGGAGGGAAGATGAGGCACTTTCTATGGTCGTCTGCCTCAGTTGTGGTTGCCCCAAGCCAGGGTGGGAGCTCTTTGGGTAGAGGGTCGATTTGGATAGAATGAGGGTCTGGAACATGCTGGGCACTCAGGAAATATTTGTTTTATGAATAAATGATTCAGCTTGGTCCTATCTTTCCCAGATTGGGAACCTATTTGGCAAACATCGTTCAACTATCATCACCCTCTACAATGGAGCATTTGACTCTTCCTCTTATTATTAAGGTAAAAAGTAGCAATAGCTAACATTTACTGAGCACTTACATATGCCAGACACTTGTCTTGTGAACCTTGCATGATTTCTCTCCTTCAACTCTCTCATGTAGGAACTATTTTATCCCTATTTTACAGATAAAGCATTGAGTCTCAGAGAGTTAAGAAGCTTGCTGAAGGTTCCGCAGCTAGTAACCATGATACTAGAACTTAGCGCCAGGCCTGTCTGGTCTTAGAGCCTGAGCTTATAACCACTAAACCCCTTCTTCACACTTGCCCAGGTTTTTTGGGCAGAGGCTAAGGGAAGGTGTGGCATGATGTGCTTGGGCCGGTGCTGGGCAGAGGCTGAGAGCCCTTTGGAATGGCGGTGTTTGCTGCTGTGAGCTTCTGGTTTGCACAAGGAGGTGGGAAGTGGCTAGGGGGGCAGAAAGGACAGACATAGGCCTGCTCAGCTCTCCCAAAGGCTGATGTTGAATGTTGCCAAGACTGTTAGTCCGTCCACCACCATTCTGCTTTATTCATTGCTAGCAATTTTATCTCAGCAGTGACCTGCCCAGCCCAGGGGATGGATCCTGATTGATCTAAGCCAACCATGGCAATCCCTTTCTCCCTTGCCAGTGATGGGTAGAGGTAGGCAAGTGGTCCAGTCCTTTGTAATGAGATAAAAGGGGATGTGTATAGTGGAGGACTTGGGGGACAGTTCCTCCCTGTTGGAAGGTGAGAGCAAAGTAAAAAGAAAGCCTTCCTCCTTGGTCTCCCTTCTTACCCTTCCTCTTTAAATGTTGCAGTGGGAGGATGTGATAGTTGGAGTTGTGGCAGCCATGCTTTGACTATGAGGCAACAAGCTGAAGGACAAAAGCCAACACCCTAAAGATGGCTGAGTGAGAGGAATGAAAGAGTGTGGGGCCCAAGCTGCCTAACCTGGGACTTCCCTCTGGGCTTTGTGTCAACCTGTGGGCCATCGGGGAAGAGAAGAGGGTCTCTAGCTGTCACTACCCAGATATGAGCCTAGATTAGTCCCATAAGCACCTCGGCCCTGGGACACCCAAGCCTTTCTACTCCTGGTACAAAAGCCACTTTGCAGGTTCTTGCTTCTTCCCCTGGGTGCGCATCCCTTTCTCTCCTCTCTCTTTAGAGTTGGCAGGGAAAAGGGTGCTGGACCAGGAGCTGGAATTTTCGGTTTAATCTGACTTGGCTGCTGCTTACTCTGACCTTGGACAATTCATTGCTCCTCTCTGGACCTCAGTGTCATCCTCTGTAAAATAGGGAGGTTGGGCTAGATCAGTGGTTTTTTTTTTTTTTTGAGACAGAGTCTCACTGTGTTGCCCGGGCTAGAGTGCCGTGGCGTCAGCCTAGCTCACAGCAACCTCAGACTCCTGGGCTCAAGCGATCCTCCTGCCTCAGCCTCCCTAGATCAGTGGTTTTCAAACTAGGTGTCAGGAACTTAGGAGCTCCCTTTGGTGTTTTGTCAGTCACCGAGAAGTATGCAGGGGAGGTTGAGTGGGCAGCTCCCCGTTGATGTGTTTTGTAAGTTGACTTTTTGTGTAAAATGATGTTTGATCAAAAGGATTTTGCTGCTCTTGGGGGAAGATGCACTGGGCTAGAAGATCTCTAAGGAGCCACACTAGGAAGCTCCGCAGGCTGTGGGGGTGGGTCACATGATGACTCCCCTGCTGCCGACTGGGCCCTGCGAGGAGGGCGCGTGTACCCGGCGTCCTCAGCTTCCAGGATGGTAGGCAAGAGCCTGCCCTAGGACTCCCTGGAAACTGAGGTTCCAGCCCCTGCCTCTTGCACTGACGTTACTATTTTTGATAAAATACACATAACATAAAATTTACCATCTTAACCATTTTTTAATTTATACGTAATATTTGTACCTATTTGTGGAATACACATGATTTTTTGTTATGTGCATAGAATGAGTAACGATCATGTCAGGGCATTTAGGGTACCCATCACCTCGAGTATTTATCATTTCTGTGTGTTGGGAACATTTTAAGTCCTCTCTTCTAGCTATTTTGATGTCTTAACAATTTTTAAATGTACAGTTCAGTGGCATTAAATACATTCGCATTGTTGTGCCACCGTCACCACCATCCAGCTCTAGAATTCTTTCCATCTTACGAGATTGGAACTCTGTACCCATTCAACATTAACTCCTCATTCCTCCCACCCCATACCCCTAGCCCTGGCAGACACCATTCTGCTTTCTGTGCTATGAACTTGACAACTCTAGGTACCTCATATGAGTGCAATCATACAGTATTTGTCCTTTTGTGATTGGCTCATTTCCTTTAGCGTAATGTTCTAGTGGTTCAATCCAAGTTGCAGCATGTGGCAGCATTTCCTTTCCTTTTTAAGGCTGGAGAATATTCCATGGTATGTATATAGTGCACGTGTTTAACCATTCATCCATTGGTGGGTGCTTGGGTTGCTTCCATCTTTCGGCTGTTGTGAATAGTGCTGCTATGAACACAGGTGTCGTGCTGACTTTTTCCTCCTCCTTCTGCAGCTGCTTTATGAACAAGGCATCAGCCTCAGGGCCTCCTTCATCTTCCTCAGTCTGCAGTACCTGGCATGTCACACGTACCTTCCTCCTGATGCCCTGGGGGCACATCCCCTACCCACTGCCCCCCAACTACAGCTATGGGTAAGGACTGTGATCTGGCCATTGCGGGCCAAAGGCCCTCTTCTGACCTAGGGTGGGAAGCAAGCAAGGGGTGGGACAGACAGGGCAGGACACACCTGTGACAGGAGAGGAGGACCGGTGCAGGGCTGTATCAGTTAGCCATTGCTGCATAGTGAACTGCCCCAAAACTCAGAGGCCGAAAATGCTACGCATTTACTATTTTTCACAAGTCTTTGGGTAGCTGGCTGGTGCTACTGCTCAGGGCCAGACTCGGATGGTCCTGACAGGGCTTGCTCACGGCTCTGATCAGCATCAGGCAGGTTGGCTGGGGGCCGGCTGGCCTAGGATGGCGGATGTCTGGGTCACGTGGGTCTCACCCTGCAGCAGGCCAGCACGGGCTTGAGCACACAGTGGTTTCGGGGTTCTGAGAGAAAGTGCAGCAATGCACAAGGTTTCTTGAGGTCCAGGCTTGGAATTAGCACATCACTTCTGCTGCATTGCCTCGGCTGGAGCAGTTCGCAAGGCCAGCCTGGATTTAGGGCAGGGGGAAACAGAGCTGCAAAGCCCCACTGCAGGGAGTGGAGGTGCAGAGGAGGTGAGGAAATGGGACCATTTCAGTGACCGCAAGGACTAGAAGGGGGTGTTCATTTGCTGCTCACTTCCTGTTTGTCAGACCCCGGGTGCTCTCTGATTTCATGCTCACAACCATCCTCTCGGATGTCCTTGTCTCCACTTGCGAAATGAGAAGAATGAGGCTCAGAAGGGTTAAGTCTGAGCCATGTTTCTGCTGCTGGGAAGAGGCAGAGCTGGGATTTGAACCCAGGCCTGTGTTACTCTTTCCAGGCCTCCAGTGCTTCTCAAACGTTGCTGCATGTCAGAATCACTTGGAGATCTTAAAAAAATAAAAAAAGAAAAAGAAAGAAAGGCTGGCTCTCACCCCCAGACATTCTGATTTAACTGGTCCAGACTGTACCTGGACATCGGGGTGGTTAAAAGGTGATTCCAAAGTGTGGTGACATTTGGGGTCCAGCCCATGATTCCCTCCAGTCCGAACCTCAGGTCCAGCTCACAGCCCTTGGCCTCGCTGGTGGGGCTTCTGTTTCCACAGCCTGTGCTCTGGGAACGGCCCCGCAAAGGAGGAGAAAACCGCTGAGCGTGAAAACGGAGCTGCAGCAAAGGAGTTCCTTTCACCAGAGAAAGGTGAGCCCTGGCTCGCTCTCCCGTCTCCTCCAGAACCCGCCTCTCCTCTTCCTTCCCCAGCTCCTCACCTGCCGACCCACTCACCCCCCACCAGAAGTCAGGCAGAGAAAGGACCTTAAGGATCTTCTCAGCCCCCTCACTCTATAGAGGGTCCAGGGAGAGCCTCTTTTCTGTCCTTGTCTGTTTTCTGTTCTCTCTTTCTTATCCCCCCACCCCCACCCCCGAAGTCTGTCTGCCGTGACTTGCCTTCCCTTCCCCCGCTCCTCAGTTTTGCCCCCTTCTGTGATGCCATTGCCCTCAGTCTGGTTCACTTGTCCCCATTTCTGCAGGTCTCCTGAGTCTGCCCTCTGTCATTGTCCCAGCTCCAATGCTGCCTCCTTTCCTTCCTCTGTCTGTTTTGGTTCTTTGGTTACAAACATCACAAACCGCAGCTGGCTACAGTGGGAATAAGAATGGGCCGGGGAGGGTAGAGAAAATGGGAGAGGGAGGTCAAAGGATACAACGTAGCAGATACTCAGTATGAACGCTCTAGAGATCTAGTGTACAACGCGAGGACTATAACAAAATTGTCTTGTATTTGGGACTTTTATTAAATGAGTAGATTTTAACTGTCCTTGCTACAAAAAAAAAGGGTAAATATGTGAGATAATATGTTAATTTGCTTCCCTATAATAACCATCTTACTGTCTGTATGTATCCTATAGTATCATGTTGTATACCTTAAATATACACAATAGAATTTATTTTTTTTTAAAGAAATAAGAATAGGATTCTGGGAAGCTTACAAAATCAAGGGGGAAAATTGAACTTGCCAGGCTCTAGGAAGAGTAGCACCAGGATACCTCTGGGCGTAGCCAGTCTGTCTCTTTAGGGAGAACAGTCTAATTGGTCAACCCTGGCTAAGGAACAGAAGTCTTAATTCATAGTCCCATGTGGCCCACAGAGAATAGGGCAGGGGATGAATTCCCAAGGATACTGGTACCAAAAGAAAGGGAGGGGTGAGGAGCCTACGGAACAGTAGCTGCCCACCACTCTTCCCCATCTCACCTCTGACTCTCTCCTCCCTTTGTCCTTTTCACCATCCTGGCTGAGAAAGATCAGGAAGGTGTTACTGCAAGAAGTGTCATTGACCAGGCTGTGGGAGACAGATCGGATTTCAGTAGACTGAGAACTTGCAGTGAGGGTCATTCAAGGTGGTGGGGCCGGGATGACGAAGCAGGGAGGTGGGGAGGTGCGGGTTCTGAGACAAGGGCGGAAGGAGGGCTTGACCCAAGGCTGTCCCATGAAGGCCTCCATGCTCTCACCCATCCTGTCCCTCCACTTCCCTTGTAATTCCTGCCAGATCCGTTCCCCATCAGAGATCCCAGGACCAGGGCAGCAGCAGAAACCCCGCTCTTTCTGGGGTTACGTCCTCTCTCGCCGCTTCGCCTGGCACCTGGTGTGGCTGTCTGTGATACAGTTGTATCACTACCTGTTCATCGGCACCCTCGACTCGCTGTTGACCAGCTTGGCCGGTGGGGACAGGGCGATAGGTATGTGATGGGGCTGGGAGGCAGCCTGTCCTGCGTCCCAGCCCCGGGAACTGGGGCCTCTGGCAGGGCTGCGCACTCCAGGGGAGGCTTTGAGGGTGGGGGAGGAGGGATGGGCAGGGCGAGTGCAGGGCGAAAGAGTCCTATCCTGGAAGGCAGTCCCGGAGCCCTGTCATCACCCGCCCCTTCTCCATCCTCTGCAGTCAGCACCTACACAAATGCCTTTGCCATCACTCAATTCTTCGGGGTGCTGTGTGCCCTCTGGAATGGCCTGCTCATGGACAGGCTTCAGCAGAAGTACCAGAAGGAAGCTAAAAGGACAGGTGAGATGGGGGTAGGGAGCAGGGAGGGGAGAGATCTTCATTTACCCCCGTGCCCATCCTCTCTTTTGTTCTTAACCGTTTCTACTTGCGCGCATGCATTCATTCATTCATTCAGCCACTAGTCACTTAGTGACAATTATGTGCCAGCCGTAGTGCCTGACGGCAGGGATTCACCAGTGAACAAGACAGACAAGCCCTTTAGTTCAGACTGTTCTCAATCTAGAGGATGGAGAAAGGCAGGTCATCAGGCAATTGCAGTCAGCGAAGTAAACCTATAGGTGGCCGTGGGGACACAGAACGGCACCTGTTCTGGGCACGGATGGGGTCGGTATCAGGGAAGGCTTCCTGGAGGAAGTGGGTCTGAGCCAAGACCTGAAGGATGAATAGGAAGGGAGGACAGGAAGGAGTGGGGCCTGGGAAAGCGACCGAGGAACACAGTGGGGTGGAGTGGTGACGGGGATAGTGAAACACTGAGGAATCGCAGGGGTCTGGGAGGTGAGTCGGGCTGGCCAGGGCTCGGAGCGCACCAGGAGTGGCAGGGAAGAGGCTGGGGAGAGGTAAGGACGGGTCAGGCTGCTTCCCACGCCAAGGAGTTTTGGGGCCCGATCCTTGGACTTGAGTGGAGAAGGGAGTTACCCTGGGGGCGTCTGGGGGAACAAGAGCGGAGAGTGACGTTTGCCAGCATGTCTCTTCTGTGCCCTCCCAACTGCACGCCACGCACTGCTCCTCGCACCCCCGTCGGGGATTTCAGAGCAAATCTCAGACATCGCGTCGTTTTACCTGTAAATGCTTCGGTGTGTGTCTTTAACAAATAGGCCTCTTTTACTTAAACATCACCATAGTACTACCACAGCTTAAAAAAAAACCAATTTCTTAATATTATCTAATATGCAGTCACTGTTCAAATTCTCGTAATTGTCTCGAATACATCTTTTTACAGTTTTTGTTCAAATTAGGATTTGTGCATGGTCCGTGCAAGGTATTCGGTTGATGTGTCTTCTGTATCTTTTAAAATCTTTAGCAGCATCCCCTCTCCCCACTTTTTATGTCTCGTTTATTTGTTGAAGAAACTGGTCATCTATCCTGTCGAGTTTCCCACGTTTTGGATTTGGCATCCCTTTGGCTTCATTTAAAAATATTCCTTTGATTATTTCCTGTAAATGTGTGGATTAGAGGCTTGGGGGAGACTCAATTTAATTTTTTTTTTTTTTTTTTTTTCATTTTTGAGACAGAGTCTCACTAAGTTGCCCAGACTAGTCTTAAACTCCTGGGGTCAAGTGATCTTGCCTCAGCCTCCTGTCAATTTATCTTTATTGTTACTTTTGGCAAGAATAGCGCAGAGGTGGAGCTGTGGGCTTCCTCTGGTCTCCCTGCAGCAGCCCCCCGTGTCTGTTGTCTCATTATGGTGTTAAGATTGATCAGCTGGTTCAGACGTTGTCAGTCTGATCCGTCATTATAAAGTTTCCCATCAGCCGTACTCCTCACGGTTTCAGTAGCCATTACTGATCAGTGCCTAGACCCGTTATTTTAGTAAGGTTGCAGCAGGAGGATTTTCTATCTTCACTTCTGCTTTTCATAGCTAGAATTCCTTCTGGACAGAAAAACTTTCCCTTACTGTTTTGTCACCCTGAAATAAATGCTTGGTTTTCCCCTCTATTTGCCAGTTCCAGAATAATGAGTTGGTGCCCTAGCAACCTCCAGGGGTGACTACTAGTTATTTCTTTTTTAAAATCCCATTTTAAATATAGTTGACATCTTTCAAGCTGTTTGTGATTCTTTTTAATTCTCAAATTGTCTCACCTTTGGCCACTGGGAACTTTACCAGTCCAGCATCTGTGTCCTTTAGGCAGAATCCCGTTAGTTTCAGACAGTGTCCTTATCTGAAATTGGCCATTTCTCTGACCAGCCCTGGGGCCCTTTAATGGGAAACGATATTTAGAGACTTCAGGCTGGATGTGGGGTTTCTCATGGCTCCTGGATTGTCATTGCTTTTGGGCCTTGGA